GATTTGAAAATGCCCAACTCTCTCTTGTCTCTCCCCATTCTCTGCGGCGTGCAGACCACGGAGGTGCAGGTGGTGACGCCCAACAAGGCGATGTACGCGGGCGACGTCCTCGTCGTGATTGACGGTGTGCCCACGGACAGCCTGGACGCGGTTATAATCAAGGCGGCTCTGGCCAAGGGCGCCAACGAGCTGAGCATCACCGTTGCGCCCACGTCACCGCTGAGGCTCAAGGGGCCCTCGTACACCCGTCTGCATGAGACGGTGGTGACCGACGCCTACGTGTCGGAGCCGTCGCGGCGGAAGCTAACACCGAGACCACTCTAGTGGCCGGTGGTGCCACCGATGCTGAACCCACCACCGCTAATCCCGAAGAACCACCAGAGGCGCCAGCGAAGCTGTGAGCGCGCCAAAAGCCACGGCCCAGCTGAAGGGGTTCCGGCCATTTTAGAGTGGAGTACGTTTACGTTCTAGCGAAATAAAGGAAACGAATTCGAATAAACGAAGCACTGTAAGATTTTCAGAAGTGCTGACCCGGCACAGCTGAGGGAGTTGTGACGGCTGAATAAAATGTGCTGACCGCCTGAAGGAGTTGTGAAAAAGTTGTGCAGATGTCGAAAAACGATGAAGGCGACTCGGACACAACTGCCACGTTCTTTTTTTTAAATTAAGCATTTCTTAGCTGAACTGCAGGTTCTTTGGCCGAATCAGGCGTTCTTCAACGTGGTTGAGAGCAGCCAGGTGAGGAGCTTAGGAGGATATTGGTACCTGTGTGAAACACTCATCGTAGGGAACTTGTCACATCCTGCCGTGGCTACGAAGTGACGATCATCGCCTTGCTGACCTGCCTGACCGTGTTTTAGGAGCGAAGCTCCTTAGGCCGTGGGTCGTTCCTTCCTCCGCATGTATGTATTTAACCTCCTCTAGTTTCACTAGCTCAATAGATGGCATTGTGTGTATATGTCCTTGGGAATAATATAACTAGATGGCATTAGTGGTTTTCACAGCATATCTAAGGAGTGAACGATGAGTGGGGAAAAGCGTACGTTCATCTCATGTGTCCAACTGTCCATGCGTCCATCCATCCGTCCGTGCTTCTGTCCATCCGTCCTCCGTGAGTCCATCCGTGCATCAGTACCTCTGCATGTCTGTCCGTGCATGCTTCCGTCCGTCCGTATGTCCACCCTTCTGTGCTTTCAATCGTCCATCCGTCCGTGCTTCTGTCCGACCATATGTATGTCTGTCCGTCCGTGCTTCCGTCAGTCCATCCGTGCTTCCGTCAGTCCGTCCGTGCTTCCATCCGTCCGTGCGTCTGAACGGACGGACGGATGGACACTTCGCTGCACTCATCATCATTCACTCTGTAGATATGATGTGATTTTGTTTCTCTTCTCCCTGCTCGAAGGCAGCGAGCGTTCTCGCGTGGCCAGACTAAACACCAGTTACAGCGTCCTCGTTTCCGCTTTCCTTCGCATTCCTTTCTCTCCCACACTACCCATCTCCCATGTGGCGTTTCTGGGGTGCCCTCCTCAGACAGCGACAGTTACGACACACTTTTCTCTTCGCTTCTCTTTCTTTAAAGCCCACTTCAAGGAGGCGAACGCGCAGGGCCATCGAAAAGTGACTCCTTTGGTGGCGGCGTTCCATCTAGTTGGCATTGTTGAAATCACCAGAATTCGACTTTGAGCGCAACCGCGGCAACGTACACACTGGCAACACTGATTTACGCGCCGATCGCTGACACAGGGCAAGCCGCGAGCAAAAGTAACAAGCTCTTAAGAAAATTAACGCGACCGCTTAATAAAACTTGTACCACAATCGGAGCAGACATCGGCAGTCTTGTCAGTAAGTAAAATATCGAAACACCCGAGAGGTGGAAATTCGTGGTGAGACCTGGAGTCAAACCCAGACATTCTGCGTGATAATAAACTATTATTACCACGGTGCTAAGTCAGTGCTTCAAGCTGCCTAAGAAAAAAAAACCTATTATGGCATCACATCGCGACAAGGTTAACCGTGACTCACTATTCGCTATCAGCTTCTGTAACAATGTAAACAAAATACATACTAACTCCTACGATTTAACCATTGCACAAATCTTTAACGTCACCTCATCATGGTTTGGTCAATAAAAAATTGCACCATCTCCCGCTAAAGGGAACTTGTTTCGATGCGAAGCGGTGGTGCTAACGCTTTCATTAGCGGCCGCGTTGACGCTGGCGCTCATCGCGGCGTAGCGTTGGGGAGAAACCTGGGAATTCGCAAAGCACGCAGTGATGGACCAGTGTCTCTTACTAGAACATGGCGATCGCTGCTAATGGGCGCTGAGAGACAGCATACTCGGATTGGGCACAAAGACCCGCAGTACGCTGTTAGTTAATGCGCACGCTGCGAATTTTCATTGTTCAACAACACAAAGAAGAAATCTCTCCCGGCACTACCTTGGAAGTCAAGATCCATTGCCGACATACATAAGGGGTGGCCAGCAAACGATTGTGCAGCGCTATCAGTCGGTTTTTTTTTCTTTTTTATCAATCAAGAAGCTCACTAGCAGACGTTACCTAAGCCGGCGTAGCGAGGCGAGAGAGCGGAAAGCGTAGGAGAGAGAGGATACGCGCATGCGCAAGGGGAGATAAATGCCTAGAGAGAGGGAGGATCGAGCATTGGTTTGCAGACGCTCCCTGCGTGAGCGTTGCGAGGCGAGAGAGAGGGAGCGTAGGATAAAAGAAAGAGGGAGAGTGGACGAGCATGTGCGGTAAGGATGGTCCCGCCACGAACCAAATTGAGCTCGGCCCTAAGCTGCTTCGCATCTGAAATTGCGCCCACAGTCACCTTCCCTCGGTATCTTTTGCAAAACATCGATTCGTATGGCACGTAAGATCTGCCGAATTTTCGCACTATGTCAATACTGCTGATCCTCACCTACTTCCCTGAGTCAACGTGTTGCGACTTCCACGGCCCCCTCAAAAGCTTCCTGCGCCTTGTATGGTTTCGTATAGCTACCGTGATCAGCATGACGTTCGTGCCGATGCCATCTTGCGAGGATGACCTTTCACGTCCGTCGGGTTGACGCCAACGCCACGTGATGTCGCCGGCGGCCAACTTTCGCGTTAGACGAGGCACCTAAGGGTTTCCCGTTGGTGTCTATAATGAGACCGGCGGCACAGCACGAAACTTTCAGCGCGACCAACGCGACAGTCCATCACCCAGCTGAACGCGTTTTGCCACGTTAAAGATCAGACAGACAGACAGACAGACAGACAGACAGACAGACAGACAGACAGACAGACAGACAGACAGACAGACAGACAGACAGACAGACAGACAGACAGACAGATGAGAAAAAACTGAAAGAAAGAAATCGAATTGAATAGCACTGCGAACAAAGCACTGCAAGATTTTCGCAGGTGCTGACAGCTGATCGAGTTGTGTGACAGGTGAGTACATAGTACTTTGAAATAGCATTGGGGTTATAAGTTTCAAAGCTACGATACGATCATCCGTATTTGGCAGCTACGCTACCTCTAGGCTGGGCTGCGCCAAGTGTCTGAAGAACAGCAACGAATTTTCACCAGCTGGGCTTTTTTGACGTGCACATAAATGTAAAGAAAAAGATCCTAGCATATCCACGGGGTGAATGATGGAGAGTGGGGCAAAGCATCCGTCTATCCATGCGTCCGTCTGTGTGACCATCCATGTGTCCATCCGCCCGTCCATGCATGCGTCTGTTCGTGCGTCCGTCCCTGCGTTCATCCATGAATCTGCCCCCGCGTCAGTCCATGCGTCCATCTGTCCGTGCAGCCATCCCTGCGTCCGTCGATATATCTGTCTGCGTGTCCGTTCGTTCACCTATTCAACACTCCAAGTACCACCATCCCACATATTTTCATCATATATTCCTCATATAGAATCACCGCCATCCAGTGGACATTCCAAGGACTGAGCGAGGACCACCGCGGTGGTCTAGTGGCTAAGGTACTCGGCTGCTGACCCGCACGTCGCGGGTTCGTATCCCGGCTGTGGCGGCTGCATTTCCGATGGAGGCGGAAATGTTGTAGGCCCGTGTACTCAGATTTGGGTGCACGTTAAAGAACCCCAGTTGGTCGAAATTTCCGGAGCCCTCCACTACGGCGTCTCTCATAATCATATGGTGGTTTTGGAACGTTAAACCCCGCATATCATCAAGGACTGAACGAGTGGAGGCACACGCACACTTTCTTACGGCTTGCGCTTCGCGTCTACTTCCCAGCTTTAACCACCTCGAGTTCATGGTATATACTAGTTCACTGTATTCATGGCACTGCGGCCCTACGCCCGCTAAACCTTCCTAAAACTAAGGAGGTTACACCCAGCGGGTATAACGTAACAACCCTTTCTTGTCAGATAGTGCTCAATGTACATGCCAATGTAGATTGAGCACTAATGGGGATCGCAGCATGCGCGCTAGCTAAAAGCCAAATGCTCCTCTCTCTTATTCCCCCTTATCAGCCATTGGCATGTACATTGAGCACTATCTTTTATTGTTCAACCATGCACAGAAGAAATTTCTCACCGGCACCACCTTGGAGGTCAAAATGTTATACTTGTTCCATACTACAACGGCTAGAAGGGATGAACGGGTGCCGCTATAAAGACCTTCGCCCCTAAAAATACTGGACAAAAACTCTCATGCGTGCGCTGCGGGCCACACGCAAAAAGGCCGCTGGTTGAAACCCCTGCTGTTGTTGGTACGCACAACAAGTCTGCGTTCGAATCATCATCGTAACACATCGCGGTCATCGAAGTGTGGATCGCGGGGAACGCGAAGAAGATGAGGCAGCGCAGCAGCCATCGGGGCGCGCGCTGTTCCTATTCCCGTGGCTGGACCGCCGTCTGTTTGCCGAGCCATCGGGGACTGCGCGGTCTCAAGACCGGCCCGGTGCTGCACCGCGGCACTGGTGCAAAGGGTCGACGCTCTCGAGCATCGTTGTTGAGAAGCGGCGCGACCGACCCGGGCCAGAATCATGGCTGCCGCCGCCCCCGCCGCCGCCGCCAAGTCCCCGCCGTCAGCGCCGGCTCCAGGGCCCGATGGTGAGTGGCTCTACGCCGAGAATGCGAACTGCCTTGGATTACGACGTCGACAATCAGTAGTCGCACGCCGTGAGCATAATAAAATGAAGCTAACGTATAGGGGTCATTGTTCCTGGGTGTCAACTATAGTAAATCAGTCCGTCGTGGTGTAGCATTGTTAAGGCTCCCGGCAGCTGACCCAAAGGTTGATCTCGGACGTGGAATGTAGGTTGATTGATTCATATGTGGGGTTTAACGTCCCGAAATCACCATATGATTATGAGATACGCCGTAGTGGAGGGCTCCGGAAATTTTGACCACCTGCATAACGTTCTTTAACGTGCACCCAAATCTGAGCACACGGGCCTACAGCGTTTCCGCCTCCATCGGAAATGCAGCCGCCGCAGCCGGGATTTCATCCCGTGACCTGCGGGTCCGCAGCCGAGTACCTTAGCCAGTAGACCACCGCGATGGGGCGTGGAATGGTAGAGGCCGTTGTACAGTGCGATGTCAGAGCCCGAGAAAGAGCGCCAGATGGCCGAAATTTCCACATCCCTCAAACACTGCGGGTCTCGTAATCATGTCATGGCTTGGGTATGTAAAATGCTAAATACCATGGACTGTATAGTGAAGTCTATACAATAATCACAGCTGAGCTAGCTGCTTACAGGCACAAAAGGCGCAAATTGCGAGCTTCGGCAGAAAAGGCACACCTTTTCCGCCACTGCTCGGAATTTTCAATAGTTAGTCACTGTTTGGGGAGGGGGTGCCTTCTCCTCTCTCTTGTGGTCATTTTTGCATGGCCTATCTTCTATACAACATGCTTTAGTATAGGAGTTATGACACTAATGAAAAATAATTTAAAGCCGAAAAAAATCGATTTGCCTCAGCTGGGGGCAAAATTTACGGCCTTCGGATATAGCATGAGATGCCCTGCGGATTATGGCGGCGATCACAGAACATCAGACACGTTATGCTAAGGTTGCAGATTCGGTATCTACATTTAGTAGGACGATCTTTGATCCTCTTTATTTTTCGTTGATATCAACATCATCAGTATCATCATCAGCCTGACTACGTCCACTGCAGGACAAAGGCCTCTCTCCCATGTTACACCAGCCAACTCGGTCCTGTGCTTGCTGCTGCCAATTTACACCCGCAAACTTCTCATCTGTCCACCTAACCTTCTGTCTCCCCCTAACCCGCTTGCCTTCTCTGGGAATCCAGTTAGTTGCCCTTAGTGACCAGCGGTTATTCTGTCTACATGCTACATGCCCGGCCCATGTCCATTTCCCCTTATTGATTTTATTGATATCATTACCACGGTTAAAATGTTAAAGTAAGGCCTCTTAGTTTTTTTCTTTCCTTCAGTGTCGGTTGGCTTTATCAGGTTGTGTACAACTGATGAAATCAGCCTTTGATCAATATCTCTTTCTTTCGTTTGCGAACTGATGGTTGTTCTAGCAGAACCTCTTGCTAGGCTAGATGCTACAAAACTGCCTATAACTACTTAGGTCCAGACTGCTTCTTATAGAAAGAAAACCTGGACGGAGGTTGGTGTCTGAATGTCTGAATCAGGCAGCATGGACTTAAAAATTCGAAGCTATTTGTTGGCACAATACAAAGCCTGCTTATGTGAGACGAGGCATTAAATTTTTTTCGTTCTTGGCAAAAACTCAGATGCCCTGGCCCAGGAGATAATAAACGATATCGATCTTACGTACCGGAGTAAGAGCCGTACATCTATTATTGCCGTTGCGGATTCTATCGAAAGCTCGATAATGTACTACGCGACATTGGTCACAACGTCGTTTTTGTCACGGAAATAGCGCAATATTTCAAAGAAAGAATTGCAAACATAGAACATTCTGTCCCACTTTTTTGGGTTCATTTAACCGGAAAATTGTCGTAATATTATAGAGTTTCTGACACCTTATACAAACGTCCTGTCTTAGTAGTTGCGCCGAATGTGATACCGAAAAAAAGACACAATAACACATTTTTATTTCTGACGACCATCTGAAAAATCTGGAAGGCTCCCGCGTGAGCAAATAATTTTCCTCTATGAAATATTCAAGCAAATCACTGTTTTCAATGCATGACACAAGCAAAATTATTGTTGATGCATCTGAGATATTCATATAAATGCCCGGGTTGTTTGAGTGAAATAACGGTGCTGAGAAGCACGGACGCTACATGATTTCATCGACGGCATAGCTTCATATAAGCTGTAAGACGATTGGAGCGTGTTTTTAAATCGCGGTCATCGCAAACATTCGTCCACGCGAAAGAAAGGTATCTCAACGAGCTCCGCTTGAGAATTCATACTTGAGCAATCAGTGCGCGGGCAACGAACACACAAAGAATCAGTCGCATGACGAGCGCTTATCCTGTGTCTTCTTTCGGTGTCTCCGATGGTTTCGCTAGTTATGGAAGCGTATATTCTCAAGGATACTAGACGAGCTCGTCCACTGTTATTTTTTCTCCGTGTCTCCGTTCTTCAGCTAGTTTTGCTGGTTTTCCAAGCATGGGTTCTTAAGGACAGTACAGGAGCGCTCGTCCTGTGTTGTTCTTTTAGGGGCCAAGCTCATTAAGGCGTGGGCTGTGCGTCCCCTGTATGTAGCCACATCTCGTTTTGTTCTTGCAGTGTCCACTAGATGGCGGTACTTGTAGCCGATGATGAAAAGATGCAAGATGTTATAAACTAGACGGCAGTACTTGTAGTTGATGATGAAAGATGCGAAATGTTATAAAATAGGAATGATGTCACATATGGCGCGTGTCATTGGTGGAAGGCAATCGTTCGATTTAGTGCGGGCGACGTACGCTGGGGGGGGGGGGGGGGGGCTTGTAATAAAATCGGGTGGGCAAAATGTACGGAGTGTTCATGGTTTTCCAGGTTTACCTCCGGAACTTCGCCTACTCATCATCATTCACTCCATAGATATGACGGCACTTTTTCCTACATGTCTCCACTGTGTTCGCTCTGGTTTTCCTCGTATGCATTCCCAACGACGCTGGACGAGCGCTCATCGTCCATCGCTTTCGCGTTGCTTTTCAATGTACGCATCAACTGCGACTCGGGCACCTTACTCCTCTTCAGAAGTTTGTGCCGCTGACTCACTGCCGCAGCCGACGCCATGAACGAAAAGAAGCGCACGGCGGCCAAGGTGGTCACCTCGCTGTTTCCGCGCATTCCGAAGGTGACCACGGTGCTGCTGGAGTTCTACATCAGGCGCGAGAGCAACCTCGAGCTGGACTGCGAGCCGCTCATGTTCTTCTGCAAGGAGCAGGTGCTGCTCGCCGCGCAGGACATCCTCGACAAACTGAACAAGCAGATCGTCACGTACCAGGACGTGCGAGACGTGGCCGAGAACCTCATAGGTACATCCTTTTGTCTGGGCGAGTTAGTGCGAAGTTTGCGAAGGTAATCAGCATGAAATACGGGACAGACGACTCAAGTACCACAGGACCGGCGCTGATCCTGTTGTACTTGTGTCCTCCGCTCCGTCTTTCCTGCTGGTTAACTTCACTCGTAGGTATCCTATGAAGCCTGTCCAGCATTGAACGGCAGCGTAGGAACAGGTATCCTAGCGTGTGGTCTAAAAGTCAAGCCACGTGGTACAATTTTACGGCCTGCGAAAAAACAACGCAGCCATTTTCGCGCTGTCGGACAGTGAAGCTGCAGTCAGCGTACGTGTGTCGGTGTCTGACTATAGCAAGGTCGCGAGGTGTCGTGAATTCACCGCTAGAGTTGAAATGCGAGCGCTTATGCTTGATTGGGAAAAGTGAGGTTACTTGACTTACCAGATAGGGCAAGGATTCTCCGCGCACGCCGACTACTACTACCACGACCGACACAGGCTGCCCTGAGACATCATCAATGTAAAAACACGTTGGAGCAGCTGTGCGAAGTTATTCGTAAACATTCCTATTTTTGTTTCTATTCTTCTTTGAAAGCGACGGTGCTAAGCGGTTCATTAGTCCAAGTGTATCGTACACTAAGCAAGAATCGGGAAAGTCCCACTACCGGAAGGGTAAAGCGTACAATAACCATGCGTGGTGTAGTATAGGCCCATGCCATGTATGTAGGCAGTGGTAGGCGCCGTCGACATACTGGAGCGCCTGTAGAGACGTCGCGGCGCGTAGGTTCCGCACGTTATGCTGCTCGGAGGGAGCGCTGCAGCTGCAGTGACAGTTGTCACGTGATCATAAAGGGTGGTGGGCGGAGGCTACGCACTACGACGTCGCTACAAGCGCACCAGTGTGTCGACGGCGCCTGCCCTTGTTCACAAACGTGAAAGAGGTCTACAGCGAAGGGTCGTAAAGGGAGCAGAACGCAGAAAGAATGATTAGAGATAGAGAGAGAGAGGCGGGGAGAGGGTTGAGTGAAGCGTGGCATATTCTTTTATAGTGTTCTACAGCGACGTGGTGGAAAATGGCCGTGAGGTTGAGTGGTATGAGGATGATGATGAAAGATGATGAAGGGAGTAAGACGTAGCCTAGCCTTGCATAATATAGTATAGCAAGAGGTTGGGAAAGAACAGTGAGGATGAGTTGGAAAGCGCAACCAGCTTCACGGTTTCTCTATAGTCTTCGTACCATTAGATAGGTTGCGTAGCTCGCGGAATTTTCTTTCTTTTTTCGTTTTGAAGTGTACGTACATCTCGCTGATCCATGGACAGGGTTGCATAACCTGGCCTACAAAAAGAGTCCCGAGATCGGCAAGGTAACGGGCGACAACATTCGCAAGCTGATGATCATCGTCGGCGAGCTGGCCACCTCGCTGGAGAAGGTGTCCGAAGTGCCGCCCACGGACTGGATGGGTATCGGCGACACGGTCGTGGCCAAGACGGCGACTCTGAACATGGCCGAGGTGGCGCCCTTCTACACGTACATTCCAAAGATGAAGGACTTCCTCTCCCAAAAATTGCTCGGGGCCGGCGGATTCGGCGCTGTGTACAAGGCGGTCTACAAGCCGACCAACCTGACCGTCTCCATGAAGCTGGTGCCATGCGATAAGTTCCAGAGGCACAAGCAGGCCTGCATCGACAAGGTGTGTGCGTCCGTCATCGGGCACCCGTTCCTGGTGAAGTACTACGCCTGTTTTGCTAGTCGCGTGAGTATACTTCGAAGACGGTCTTGGGCAGTAACTAGTTATGCCTTACCGTGAAGTAGTTACTTTTTTAGTAACTTGTAAGTGGGACTGCTTGCGTCACACGTGCGTCCGAGCACTTAGTACGGCGATGCGATAGACTTGTTTTCCTCTTCAGTATCATATGTCTGTCAGATTTGTTCCTTCGCGGTCTTTCTTTGTGGCTCGAAGCAATGCCGCCGCCACCTCACAGCGTCAGCGCATGGAGCAGCGTCACAGTGACGCTTCTCCATTGCTTGGCAGCATAGTGCTACGAATGGCGACACGCTATCTTTATCACTGTATCTTGTACACAGTCAGTTTGAACGCCAACACTGTGAATACGACAAATGCAAGACACCACCACACGGACTTGTACACAACTGAACAAACAAAAATCGCTTCATGTCATTTCCGTAGTGACGCACTACACGATCGTTTCTCTCTCTCCCACATCAGCACAAAACACCCGCTAAAGCTAGGCGATGGGCCAGCAGGCAAGGGCTAGGGGAGGTGTTGGTGTCGACTGGATCAGGCGCATCTGGTTGGTATTGAAAAAAATTGGAGGCACTGGGCAATATTTTGCCACCAGCATATATGTATTTAAAAAATGAGTCCCCTCTTCCCCTCTCAGGACGCCTACGTCACCGTTATGGAATACATTTGCGGCGCCGACATGATGCGAGTGTGCGAAAAGGCGGTCTACCTGCCGACCAATGAGTGCCGCATTGTCATGGCGCAGCTGATCCTCGCCATCGAGCACATGCATCTCAGGGGTCTGCTCCATCGGGATATCAAGGTGTCCAAGTGAGTCTCTCGCCCCACTCGCTGCCACGCCGTTGACGTCAACCTTTAGGGCCTGTACACGTGCTATACACAGCATACGTGGCAGTACACCTGTCTCACGCAAGCGGTGAGCAAAAGAGCATAGCCAATTCGCTCTTCTGCCCTCCGCTGGCGTGCAGCAGGTGTACCGCCATGTGCAGCGCGGCAGTGTGAGCACCACGTGTATACCCACCCTCACATGTAAATTACACGACGTGTGCAACCTTTGAGCTTAAAGGGGCTCGGCAACACTTTTTGGGCATGGTGAAAAGACGCTGGCGACCGATAGTGAAGGCTCCCGAGAACACGAGAGCACAGTATAAATAAATTCTTAAATTCGGCTAGGAATTCCTTTCTCTTGTCTCGCCAAGTGATGCTATGTCCTGAAAGATCACAGCGTCGCAGGCCGACGTATTACGCCATTGGCTGATCTGAGCATGGTACGCTCGGTCGTTGCTGGGGCCGCCACGGTAGGCCGCGACATGTCCGCGCGTCCTAAAGTTCCTAGATGAAACAAGTTTCTTTCATCTAGAGACCTTAGCGCGTCCGTGCGACTCTGGCACGTCCATGTGCGCTAGCAGGAAATAGCCGCGCGCGGAGAAGAAAAAAGCAAGTGCTCAAGGTCACAAGGCTCGCATGACGTACCTTCGATTGCCAGATTCTCCAAAAGAAAAAAAGAGCCACGAAATTAGGCACGCAACCAGAACAGTAGCATACGGCCACACGTTATTTTATTTTGGAGCTAGAAAACTAGCCGAACGTGATTTGAGCTAAGCAAAATTATCACTGTGTTCTCCCACCTGAAAATAAATTATACAGCATGGCAATATTTATAACATAAAAATATAAAAAACAAACAGACTAGGTGACTTCCTCGAGGAGGCAATAAACCTACAGGAAACTGTCAGTTGATATTGCACCGTGTTACGTTTGGGCCGGCAATTCGTCTGGGCAGACGCCAGTGTGCATAAGCCGGTCTACTAGGGAGGCTTTCAACCCCATCGGCGCCCAGTCTGCAAGACGCTGTACTGTAGACGTTCCGGGAAGCAGACGGGTCTCAACGAAAGCTTCGCGAGGCAAGCCTTTTGTTGAACAGGCTCGATCAGCGGGGGGAACGGTGCCACTGCGGCGGTCTCATTAAGACAACCTCGTGACTCGGGTTTTGTCATCTACGCGAGGCCATCTCAACGCATCGACAGCCCGGAAGCGTGGGAACGCGTCCAAGAAGCCGTTCACCGGAATCGAGCGTTCGGACCTGAAGCTGAAATCAGCGTGGACCGCTGCTGACGGTCGGGTTAGCGGCCATCTCCCCGGAGGAGCTCAACTTTCCCTCTCTGGACTCTACCTCCTCGCCTTGCAGTACCTTCAAGGCGTGGGCCGGGTGCGTCATTGTGTGGTGCGTTCCTGTTACCATTAGACAGTTTCACCCAGCCGAGTGGTGCAATATCTGCACCCTTTCTGCTGGGTGGACCACAAAGACTTCGTCTCCTGATGTGTGACAAGAGTGATCAGCGCCTCCTTCGGACGGCTGTGACGGCAGGCTATAAACGCTGAAGCATTTTTGTAAATAGAGCTGAATCATGTGAGCTGGATTTTGTACGGAATCATGAGCTGAACCTCTGTTGTACATAATGCGGGGTCTTCTAGATCCTTGTGCAGTTCCTATCTTTCTTCTATAATGTAAATAAACCTTCGTTCGACCTCTCCTTAACGCTTCTCCTCACTGGCGAAGATCAGCTATGCGGACGACGGCGGGAAGCCCGCTACGTTAACAGAAGCCCGCCGTTCCTTCCATGATTGACAACTTCCTGGCCATTTACGTAAAACCGACAATAAAGTGTACATAATCGAGTTCACTTTTGCCAGCATGCCCCAAGGTACTGTTAAGGTAGAGTGAGCAAGGCACTTCGTATTCCGCGCTGAATGTAGCGCAGTTTATTTTTATTCACGTTAGAGTATAGCTTGTAACATCTTTCACACGTAGTCCAAATATGAATCTTATGATCGCGAGAAGTTTGTGTAACATTCGATTGCTTAAGCCGCTTTTCATAAGAGGCACAACAAAAAACAGTCACTTCGCTTCTGCGTTAGATTTAGAAAAAAAAACAGTTTCATTTTCATGTCTAGGATTAGCAACCTGATGCACCCCGGTAGGTTTATATTTCGCTCCAGAATTTCATTGCTGGCATGTCGGTACTCACACGCTCAAATGAACGAAGCTGCCGGGCTTGCTCCTCAATAAGCATTCAGGCAGCCAAATACGTCTCTCGGCAAGGTTCTCAAAGCGTTCATCGTATTCACCCCACAACAGACCACACAATGTGGAGTCTGCAGTTAGAGTCACTGGAAAAACAAGATTGGCGGCGCTTTTCACAAGAAAATGTTTTTTTTTCTTAATTTGTGTGTGTTAACAGATCACGCAAACAACTTAGACGCATTCACGTAAGAAATGCATGCAGTGCATCGTGCGCACACAGTGATAAAAAATAGGCCTGTCATTTCCTAAAGAAAAATTCGCACCGTATCTGCATGTGTCACTGCAAATGTCGTCGAAAGACGATAGTCTTGCGAGTGGAGATAGTGAACAAAACGTTTATTTGATGTTCTACGCAAGAAAATCAGTGAATTGTATTCTGGAAGCGCTGCGTTAGAGAGTCTCAATCCGTGCAGCGATGGCGAAAGAGCGCATCGAGGCACGTTAGACACGAGCGCCATGTGGCAGTTATCTTCGAAGACTAAGGAAGGCGTGCACACCCGCAGAGAAAGATGCGCGCCTGTCTCAGAGGCGATAAGGTGTAGAACACAAAGCGACGGGCAGGGGCCACCACCGTGTCGTCTTAGAAAAGTGTTGGAAACACTTGCCTTTTTGAGCATCACGTTGCACTGTCAGCGCAGCGTGATAAACGCTTCTGTCCTTAGAATTACTTGTGTGTGTCTTCTTTAGTATAAAGGCACACAAACAAAACATCGACGTGTTGTTATGGTGCCTCAGATATGCGCAATAATTGATTTTTTAATTGACAATCGCACAAGTATGAAGGCTGAAACTTTATCAATATTGGTGGGCGCTGTGGATCGGGTTGGGCGTTTGAGGTATCGTCTGATGCCGTTAAAAAAATCTTTACCGCGGAGAAACAGACACATGTACAGACAAAAAGACGTACCAAAACTTTGGTGTTGAAGGTCACCCAAAAAAAGACTATCGTGTTTTAAAAAACGGAACAGCCAGCACTAGAAACGTCATGACTGGCAAGCGCAGCAGTGTCATCAGTGAAAATAATAAATCAGAATAATAAATCACTGCAGAAACACAGCGGGATGCGTGCGCTTTGCGCAAGGTCGTTCATACGGGCCACGTGCATCCAATTTTCGCCAACGTTCGCCTATAGGGTGGCGCCACTTATACAGCTAAGAGCATTAGCTCTTGACGCGGTTGGCGGCTGGAAAGACTGAACGAGTCGCCCGCCAAACACGTAGGTTTTAGTGCTGCCTACCCTACGTGAATTCCATTAATCATGTGAAAACTATGATGGCCAGGCCATGTTTTCAGCGCACGTAATTGCTTCTGGTATACCATGCGAAAAAAATGAAATTACATCAAGCGTTACTGAATGAAGGTTGAAGTGTATGTTAACTGTTCATGTCAGTGACAGAACCGTAGCCAAAAAGTAGCCCACGTCAATTTTTTGTCGCCGCGGCCTGTCAAACGTAGACAATGTGGAGCAAAGCAGCCAAATCTGGTGACCCTTGTCAGAATCTTCACCAGTGCCACACCCTCTGCTTAGCTTCCAGCGCCTCTATTGGGACGGAAGAAGGGAAAAGGCAATTGCGGCATGCGACTAATCTTTGTAACTCCGCTCGTGCTGGAGGTAATCTAAAAAAAAAGAGAGGTGACAAATTCAGGAGGCAATGACCTTTAGTGAACCCGTTGCATGGCTACTAGGAAAAGTTCTGTAGAGCCCATTAAAGCAGTACTCACACGAATTTGAAGTATTTTCGGATAGAATCGCTCCAGCTGTGGTGCCAGGGAATGCATCGCATGTATCTTTAATACCAGTACGGTTAAAAACACTTTCGGTTTCTACGTTGAGAGGGCGGCTACTCCGTGAAGTGTCATGTGACATCATGGGGAGACAGCGATTCACGACGTATTAGCGGCGTATCGGCCAGTCGCTCGCGAGGCACGCAAACAACGACGAGGGCATCATGTCTAGCGACCACGATAGTGATTTCTGTGATTTAGACCGCGCGAAAGACGTACAGTGCTCAACTCGGCTGTCTATAACGACGGAGCGTCACGCGCAGAACAGCACGAGCGACATCTGCAGTCGCAAATACGCCGCATCTGAGCATGCGCGGCGCGAATGATGTGCCTGCCTCGCAGTTTCCACCCTTCTTTATCTCCGCGGCCTCGATGGCTGCTTTGAACGTCGAGCCGCCGTCAACATTACAAAATCGAAATAAAACAACATTGAAAAAGAAACATTTTCGCTTCGTGATATCATATCACAGTGACAACGGTTTCACTTTGTCTTTCTTGTTTTTTTTTGTTTTTGTTTTTTTCGCGAAATCGCTCAGAGTGCTTTCAACGGCCAAAGCGGTTGTTGCATCCGCGGCGATAAACAGGGATCAGTATTGCGAGGCGGGCGCAACACTGGCGCCGCGCATGCCCAGATGTGGCGTATTTGAGACTGCAGATGTCGCCCGTGCTGCTTCGCACACGACACTCCATTGTCCTAGACAGCCGAGTTGAGCCCTGTATGTCGTAAACTCAGTGGAACTGAGCTGATTCGTCGGGATAAGGTATACAACGGTGGCGCTGGCACTGCTAGTGCTCAGAGAAATATTTTATACGTGTTGCGGACTCCTGTGTGTTGAGAGAGTTAACACAGCATAACGAGGAAACGAAAAAATGACCCTTTCTCGTTGTTTGTAAATTGTGCCAGTACACGGCCCGTAAACCATCCCCTATGCCATCCCTTATGCCATCCCTTATGCTCTAGCAGTTATCCTTCACGTTGAAGCTCCCACGCGTGCTAGATTGATAGTTTCGCATATTATATGGCATGGACACACTTAGATAAGCGATCGTGCCTGCCTTTTTTACCACTGTCGGGCGCACCTTTAGTCGCTAAATGGCATTCGGGATGCTTTAAAGGGGCTCTGAAACAATTTTTCAAGTAACTACAGAATGAATTCACTGGAAAAGCTCATTGACTCACGAATTTAACGCCGCAAAAGTTTTAAGAATTCGTCCAGTGCGAGTGGACTTACAAAGGTTTGTCGTATGCTGCAATTTGCATTCTCTCTTCTCTCGTCCCGGCGAAAGCACTGCAAGCTAAGCAGGGATGGATGGTAGGGCCACAGAAAAACGTCACACACGCTCCTTTTTTTTTTTTTTTTGATGCGCCGCTTTATTGGTGTGATCGCGCGCACGCATGGACAAGTCGTGGCCTCCCGCGGCAATCTCTGTAACGAGCGAGCGCGCCATGTTAAAATCAGTCAATGACTGATAGATGGGTAATTCACGTGTGACTTTTGGGCATATTCCGCCAGTTGTCGAGAGAAGAGAAAGCAATTTTTAGCTGGCTCTGATAATTTATTGTGAATTCCAGGCCGCGTGCTGCGCTCTAATATGTGGCTCGTGTGTCGTCAGGAGCTTCTACTACCAATCGGCAGCGTTTTCTGACCATGCTAAAAAGTGTTGCAGGGCCCCTTTAACTTCCTTCTTGCGTCCGTGCTTGCGCGCCCTGATTTTTTTTTTTTTAGAATGAATCTCATGCCAAGATTGCGTTGAAACATAAGGCAACGCGAAGGTCACTTCGCTCGCTGCAATGGCCGCGCATCCTCAAGCTAGCGTTTTGTTGACACGCCATGTCACATGCTAAAAAAGTTTACTTCATGTAATATTCCATTTCATCGCTGTCAGATTCAGTATTCTGCCCTCGCAGTGAAACTGTCTTTATTTTTCAGCATGATGATCCTTCCTGGAGGGAGAGTGAAGGTAATCGACTTCGACACGAACAAGATCTGCGTAGCACACTGTAAGTCGCAACATTCACGTTTCATGATTTCCGTAACTTTAGAACATTTTGAGCTTGCCACTGCCGAAAAAGGAAATGACGCATAAGTTACTGAAATAGATGAAATAGCGGGCAATATTTGGGCAAATCGAAGTCACCATTAGACAGCTATTGGTGTCTTTGTAGCCGAATCGACGAAAAAAGCTGGAATGTCACAATTAAATAAATAAATTAGTAAAAATAAAACACAATAGAGATAGAGTAACCCCTGTGTTCCCACACGCTCCTTTACTCGACTTTCACCCTTCACTTGACACAGTTGAGCACTGCGTCACCACTCGACTAAAAATGACGCTGCGCTACTCAAGAATGGCAGCAGACTATCGCTGATTTGCAGTGACTTGCCGTGCCTAGAGATAGCCCTCCCATCGGCTTTCTCAAGTGAAGGCGAAGCGTTGAGTGAAGGGAGGTTCTAGAATACGGGGGTAAGAACTGTCTTAGAACCCTTGCAAAATAGTCACACCCACAATCGCAAAAGTTAAACAGATAACAAGCTTTAAAAAACTGATTGGAGAACGTTGCAAATCGCATGTCTTTCAAAGCCATGTTCACTCAAAGGAAGAAATTTGCAGAACACACCAAGAAATGAGCTGAAATCTCTACAAGGACGAGCAAACAGACGAGGCTCATATGTCATAGAAATGCACAGAGATCGGGGCAATATGCACAGAGGACAACACAGGAATGAACCATCTCGAGGAGCGACGGCTGAACGCCCAGACTAGCTCAGACTTTCACGACCCCCTCCCCTTTTTTTTCTGTCTCACCTCACCCCCGCCCCTCAAGGCCCCTAGCCATGCTCCGTCATGAGCTGCAAAAAATTGGCATCTTTTTTTTTTCTGAGCCACTACAATACAACCCATAGGCAATCCAGCGGCCTCGGGTAGTGGTGAAAAATCTATAACTTCAACACATTACACCGGTGGCCTGATCGGCCAGCAACCTTGCAGGTGCTTTTACGGAGGAACTTTTGTTTTGCTCTGTTCGTAATGGTTGTAAGACAGCGCCTAAACACGTATATCCTGTTGACCTTTGGTTCAAGCCGTTTCTGGTTTTCTACAGAGGTGTACCAACTTTTCCAATTAAGCATACTAGCCTTTTAATACAATTAAAGTGCAAACATGTCACGCATTCACACAGGCATGCATCCAGACACCAAACACTAACTTGTTTTGTGCCCGGGTGTGGCGCGTGTGAATGTGCCGTGTGAATGTTCGTGTTTGTGTCGTGTTTTAGCGCTCTATATTTTTTATAAAATTAACAACTAGGCCAACAACAAGTTCTTTCAAAGCACACTAGTGGCAGCCAGTCGCATTATTTCTTTGCCGGGTTCACGCAGTCGCTAAGCGTGTTCTCAAGGGCTACTTCACAAGGACGGCGTTCGAGTTTTACGACGGCGAGTCGGCGGGCACCATTCCGTACATGGCCCCCGAGATCTTGAAACGGAAGCCTTACGGACGCTCCTGCGATTGGTGGTCGACCGGGGCCACCATGTACAAGATGATGACCGGCCGCGTGCCCTTCCGCGGCGAGACCAAGCAGGAGCTGACGGACAAGATCATCAACCAGCCGCTCAAGTGGCCCAAGGTCGAAGAGCACCCGCACTCGGCCACGCCCGAGGCTAAAGACATGGTCTTCAAGTTCCTCAAGAAGAACCCCGTCGAGCGGCTCGGATCAACCACGTACGCAGAGATCCGCGACCATCCCTTCTACGCGGGATTCAACTGGAAGAAGCTGGTCTTCCAGAAGGGTGACCTGTGCGACATCCCCGCCATCGGAGAGTGCATGGTCAAGAAGGCGGACCCCGGAGGAGGGAAGCCACATTTGAGTGAGTTCCATTCGTGACTCCATACGACGTCAGCACTGCTGGCGTGTCAAATCGTGTTCGTGGTGCGTCGCATCTGCGTAGAAGGCGTTAGGCCGGGCCAACGCCTCTCTTAAGTACACGCCAGGATTTATTTGGTTGATTGATTGAAGGCGCTAGGCCAGGCCGACGCCTCTCTAAGTACATGCCAGGAGTGATTTGATTGATTCATATGTGGGTTTAACGTCTAATAACCACCTTTTGATTGAGAGAAGCCGTAGTGGAGGATTCCAGAAATTTCCATTACCTGGGGTTCTTTAACGCTCACCCAAATCTGAGCACATAGGCCTACATCATTTTTCGCCTCCATGAAGAATGCAGCCACCGTAGCCGGGATTTAATCCCAAAACCTGCGGGTCAGCGAGTACCTTCACCACTAGACCACCGCGGCGGGGTACATGCCAGAGACGTCTCCCCGTTTCCATGAAAAGCGTCCTGCCAGAGTGAATCGCGGAAAGTGGTGTCCGCGACTCTGCCCGTCTGCTGGCGTGTATCATCGTATTCGCATCTATGTTATATCTCCACAAAAAGGAGCTAAGACAGGTGAATACCGCCTCTAAGTACCCATGTCAGGAAAGTAACCCACCTTTTCCATGGAGGGCCTCCCACCGCGCCCAATCACGAAGGCCGCAGTGTTCGCGACTTTATGTGACGCGTCAAGCGCTCGTGCCTCGTATCATATTTGTAGCGGATTACTGCACCCACGCAAAATGCAATAAGGTAGGCGAATGCCTCCTCGCAGTACATGCCTCGAGCATCGCTCCCTTTTAACATTGGATATGTCGAAGTAGCGAAAATACGGAGGCGTTGGCACGACCTCGGGTTGGTTGGCGCCAGTCCACCTATCCGTAGATAATAGCTGCATATTATTCCGGTACTTACCTAAGGAGCAGAAACCTGCCACCTTACAAAGAGGGTTGGTTTAACTTAAATTGAGGACGACGCAGCGAGCGATGTAAAGAAAAGTGATGGGTGCCACCTTGCCAGGAAAGGAGAAAGCAGACTAGTTCTGGTTTTGTATTCCATTCTATTGTGGTTGCTTTCAAGATGGTGGCGCACCATGCGTTTTTTTTTATTGCCCATTCCTTCGCTTGCCATTGCAAGCGTCTCCTGGCAACAAGCCTAGTGATTTTCGCATCTGAATTGACTGATACGAGGAAACTCGGTTCTTCCCTTCTGTGTCTCTCTAACTCCGCTTATCGCTGGTAATTCGCAGCCATCAGCGCCACGAGCAACACTCTGAAGCGTAAGCTTGTCAAACCGGAAGAGATGGTGGACATCGACCCAACTTCGCAGAGTTCCCTCTATACCTTCGCCTCTCCGAGCTTCAAGAAGATGATAAACTTTGTAAGCACCCACCGGTCTTATCTAACGACATCGCTCTTACTCCCGATATGAATCAGTGGGATATTCGTCCATACTGTTTCTAAATGTTAACTAGAGGAAACTCTGGCGCTGCGATCATTCAGCCACCATGACAACGACGGGTATCATACATATCTGCCTAATCTTTGTGCTCGCGGCTTCGTTTATTCTTGTTTTGACATTTGTTCTGGATAAAATAATGAATTTCCCGAGCCTATTTGAACTAGTGAGGCTAAAAGGTTAAAGTTATTAAGTGGAACATCTGAAAATTTCTTGAACTTCGTTTGCGACAAGCTGCTTCAGGCCACACGAAGCCGAAAGAACGAAGGTTTCGACAAATCCGTGTATTGCCCATTCCCATGCATGCTGGCTCAAGTCCATGCGTTGCGCCTGTTATTGGCACTAGTACCAGAATTCACTAGTGTACCTATGGGAAGCTGTCATCGGCATCAAATGAAAGCTAAACGGCGGCAAGGATTAGAAATGGTGTAGTACACGCCATCCGGTTGTCACGACGGACCTGCGCAGTGACGCCAACTAAACCATTTCTAAGGCATAACGATGTTCTGGTTTCATTTCAAGCTGATAGTACACAGTGGCTTATGTCAGCGCACGGCGTTCACTCGACGTCACAGCCTGCTAGCGGCTACAAACAATCTTTGCGCAGCTGCAGTTAGCACTATCGGTTGTGTTATTTTGCCGCACGCTTCCGCCTGCACTCCAAATCGTCACAAATCAGGCTGTTCACGAAATCAGAGAGCACAGCACTTGAGGAGAAGAGAAGTGAGGTTTGAAAAGGGAATAGAGAGGGGAAGGTAAGGCGTACAATAGTCACATATAGTGGAGCATTTAGTGGAATGGCAAAAGCATATAGTGGAGTGGCAAAAGGAAGTGAAGATGAAGAGGGAAAGAGGGGAAGGTTGGTAAGACACGGCATAGCTGTGTATGTACAGTATAATACAGCAAGGAGGTCGTGGTGGGCAATGAAGGTGTAGAGGAGATGGAAAGGGGAGGCTAAAGCGTAGAATATCCGCATACTGCAGAGTATAGCAAGACAGTGGCTGAAGAAAGTGAGGGTGAGAAGGAATAAAAGGACGGGTGGGTTGAGCACACACAGCATAGCCATGTTTAGTATAGTACAGCGACGTGGGAGGGTGGCAGGTAAAGGAGAAGATAGGGTAAGGGGCATAGAATATCCGCAATTAGCATAGCATAGCAGGAGAGTGAGAAAGGGAACTGTAAAGGTTAGGAGAAATGCTTTAAGGGTGAGGAGGAGAAGAAAACGACAATAAGAGAGGGCGCCACAGCATCGCAAATGGTTTTCTTCCTTTTTCGCCATAAACGCCGAGCGGGCTGGGGCACGTTTGGAACGCTAGCGGGCGCTTGCCGTGAATCACAGCGTCACCGAAGGGCGCGCATCGTGAGGTTATCACGCTGAGTGAATCTGCATGCATTTAATTTGTTAAAGTAAACCTTGCCTTCACATTCAGTTTTGAGACATGTGTAGGTGTGATACACGGGCTAATAATTTTTTTATGAAGAATTAAAATTGTTGCGTCACACCCTGTCACATACCCTTGAAAACGCGGTGTGGCCACACCCTACATACCAAAAGCGTGGCAGACGAGCACCTCGGTGATTGAAGATATTAGAGAGTTTTAGTACTGCGTACGCTGCGTACGTGGCGGCGTTGCGTACGTAAGGACGCCACGTTCTGCGTAGTGCGCATGCGCAGACCGCAACGCGCCCGTATCGCGTTACGTACGCAGCTGGTATACGTACGCACGCATGAGATGCGTGCGTGCGTACGTATTAGGTGATCGCGCCGCTCTCGAACAAATTCGCGACAGCGCGAGACTTCGTTTTGCAAAATGGCGGCATCGAAGGCAAGCACCGACCGGCTCTGTGGCTTAAAATATGGCCATAATCTGGCTATAACACTTGGATTGGCTCACATTGGCTGTCAACAACACGTACTTCTATTTTGATATACCAGATGACGCAACACGCTTCACGCTCGTTACGTACGCGGGTACTACGGCGTACTAAAAGCCGATTAGTGGCAAACGACGCCACGTAACGCAAGGCGCTTGCGTAATGCGTACGTAGCGCCATTCCGCAGTACTAAAACTCTCTATTATGCCGCTTACGTGCGAGGCAATGTTCTCTAAAGAAGACTGGCTGCCAGAATCACGACGTTGGTACGAAATGCGCACGCATTTGTGTAGATGACGAAGAAATCCTGTAGACTCCTATAGGTTTATCCGTCTATAAAAATGAATGCTAGAATGAAGAAAAAAAAGGGGGGGGGGGGCGGTTACCATCGAAAAGTATGTTTGCCCTTCGTTCTCTCTCTCACTCTCGCACAAACACACACTTCTGCTATCCGCAGCATAGGGCAGCCTTACAGCCCTTTGCTGCGGCAGATCTGTTTTTGTCCATGCATTTGCTCTCTCTCAAAGAAAAAACAACACCAGTAACCCCAAATTCATCCTCGAACCGCCTGCAGGCGAAAACGGCTGCCGGTCCTGTAACAGTGAACGCTTCCATGTTCAAGTCTACTGGCCCGGAGTCCGAGACACTGGACTACCACAAGGCATCGGACGTGGACGTCAAAGCCGGCATCAGGAACCTAAGTAAGCGCACAGACAGACAGACAGACAGACAGACAGACAGACAGACAGACAGACAGACAGACAGACAGACAGACAGACAGACAGACAGACAGACAGATAGATGGACAGATAGATGATAGATATATAAATAGATAGATAGATAGATATATAAATAGATAGATAGATAGATAGATAGATAGATAGATAGGTAGATAGATAGATAGATAGATAGATAGATAGATAGATAGATAGATAGATAGATAGATAGATAGATAGATAGATAGATAGATAGATAGATAGATAGATAGATAGATAGATAGATAGATAGACAGACAGATAGATAGATAGATAGATAGATAGATAGATAGATAGATAGATAGATAGATAGATAGATAGATAGATAGATAGATAGATAGATAGATAGATAGATAGATAGATAGATAGATAGATAGACAGTTAGTTTCCACTTTGTGACGGAGGATTCACAATAATGGGATGTCATGGATTTTAATGTCCGGCGACAAGTGCGTCACCATAGCCCTATCGTTTGCTGAGAGCCAAGCCGTATACCTTCCAGCAATGTGGCATTTCGTAACGCTGTCGTATGTCAAAACAGCGTTAACGCCTTTGTTCTGAAAAAAAAAAACGCACACGGAAACTATAACAATAACACTTTCGTCTTTCATTCATCTTTCATAGCCGGTGCCTCAACTGACAAATCGATAACGGCGAAAGAAAAGATGGACATCATCATGTGGAGGACTAAGAGCCTCGGAAAATTCTGGAGCTTCGGCATAACCGTCGTCGACGTCTTGGGGGAGAACAACAGGAAATTCTACATGGTCGAGGTCAGTGACTTGGACTTGCGCGCTCGCCTGAAGCTCACGAGCACAAAAAAATAGAGGGGACGAGAAAAACTAATGTTTGATCGTTTAACTTCAATTAGATCATGGCCCTTCAACGAGTACTGACAAAAAAACTCCCAAGCATTTCCCCGAGGGTGAACAAGGTTAAGTGCGAATACACGGTGTGATGCTATGAGGGGTATTTATTAATTCGCACTATTATATTTATTAATCACACTATGGTGCCTTTATGGTGTAATGGTTCCTGGTAATCGCAATTTGATCACACGGGGGAGTTTACGTTAACTCACTGGCGAATGCCAACGGATTTTAACTTTACTCCCCCTCACGACCCGCTCTCGACAAGAGACTGAGAGAGAAGGCGGGCGCGCGAGAGAGAGGGGTGCGCGCGCAGCTGCAGCGAGCGAGGAGAGTGGAGGAGCGAGCGAAGGGGGAGGGGGTATAAGGCGCGTTACTGACACCGATATGAGCGTCGCGTCCGTGGCTTATTCGGTAGAGCGTCGCGCTGCGGCCCGCCAAGTCCTCTTTCTTTTAAAGATAGAGAGAAGACTGCGGACGCCGCCGACGGCGGTGGATGGTTTGGGGTCGCTTATAAAGTGTATTCACACTTAAAAAGTTTTTTTTTTTTTTGGCGTCAAATGAGAGGACAGGTGCTGAAGAGCCTAGAAAACGCTCTAGGTGTATGCATGACTGCGTCATTGTGTAGTTGGAGTACGTATTCAAAAGCCTGCTTTGCTTCCCATTATAACATGACGTCACAACACTTTGACCCCGTGACATGCTCACGTAAAATATCGTGACGTTTTAATGGCTGCTCAGCACTATGGCTTGTTTGCTGACGCGCAAGCCGCCATTTTGGAAGTTTTGATACGTGACGTAATCACAACTAACCATAGCGCTTAGCGACGTCACTGGAATCAGTGCTGTAGTTTGACGTCAGCTAGTGCCCACATCGATAGGTACGCCATGATATAATTCATTTTTATACGAAAATGAAATGTCAGCATTTGGTGAGTTCCACACTTGCTCAGACCGTCTCAGTATGCAGGATATTTTTGTGGCAGTGTAGGCTCACCTCCTAAAGTGGTGTCAGTATTCATTTGAGCCTGAAGCACGTCGCGGTAAAAGGACACATGGGGATGTGCTGGGAAGCAGCATCTATAAAATAAAAAAAGGACTTTTTAGTCGGACGTTGTGGATTTAGTTGCAGAGCGTCATCTGATATTGTCGGACATTCCATGCCACGTCTCCGTGGTGAGGCAAACAGTTTCCGCTGGTCATCCACGTTTACAGAGTGTTGTAACGATCTGTGACGCCACATTTTTATATGTCACCTGGTTTTGCACTGCATCAGTGATCTGCCCAACTTTGAACAAGCGATGATGTCATGTGATGGCGTTATGAAGTGAAGTCACGTTATGTGGCGTATTGATGAAGCCACGGTGACATCACAAATTTTGTCACTGTGAACTTACGGTAACGTGAAACATAATATTATTGTGCACCAATCTTGTCAACAACGCCGACGGTTATTTTTTTGTGTGTGTTTGCTGCAGCGTTCGAGGTTTCCGGCTTAATAACACTCCCGTTCCTCAGAGTAGGGCTGTGATTCTCCAATAGGACTAATGGACCATGGTAGGGCGTTGCGATGGCAACGTTTTTTCGTACAGAGTGATTACATCATGTATTGTTTGATATGGAGCAAACATGACAGACCGTGATAGCTCCACTTTGAAACCCAATAAGGCGTGACGATAGTTAAAGCGCGAGAACAGGAACACGACAAAGAAACAAGAAGGACACGACACAAGAAGGACACTTTGTCATCGTTCTGTTCTTCAAATACCGGCTGTGGTGGCTGCATTTCCAATGGAGGCGGAAATGTTGTAGGCCCGTGTGCTCAAACTTGGGTGCACGTTAAAGAACCCCAGGAGGTCGAAATTTCCGGAGCCCTCCACTACGGTGTCTCTCATAATCATATGGTGGTTTTGGGACGTTAAACCCCACATATCGATCAATAAAATCAATCATCATTCTGTTCTCGCGCTATGACTATCGCCATGTCATAACAACTAGCCCAAACTGTCATACTTGCAATAAGGCGTCGACGGGGTCAAGCAAGGGGTGCCGCCAAACTGTGCGCAGGAACGCTGTCATCGAGACACCCTACTCATGGACACTGTTAGATCCAATATTCCAACATTACACAAGGCGATAGCTTCACTGCTTGACCGAATACGACGACCACGTGGAAAATGAGCGTTACTATTCTGAACCTCGTGAACACTGGCAGTGCCCCAATTCAGAGGCGGTGCAGGTGCCTTCTAATTACTGTTTCATCTCGACGACTGCGCGCAGAAAGTCAAAAGCGGCAGTCCCGCCGAAGTGTCGCACGTGCTCGAAGGCGATGTCCTCGTGGCGGTCAACAACCAAGACATCTCGGAACTGCCCATCGCCGAGGTCAAACGACGCATGCAGGACTGCGGCGACCAGCTGGTCATCACGGTGCTATCGTCGAGCGCCTTCCGGCTGCTCGAGTCTCGACGAGACTGGGACGAGATACTCAAGGCGGCTGGACAGGACACCATCCAGGTGCGGGCCATCAAGACAGCCTGCAGCGGCAGCGGCTACTACGGCTTCAAGGTGTTCGAGGCTAAGGCGTGGAACGAACAGAAGAAGGCGCTGGTGCACTGCCACGTCATTCAGAAGGTACATTGATAATGTGGAGCAGAGTTCAGCAACCTATTGAGGGGCCTACAACATTTCCGCCTCCATCGGAAATGCAGCCGCTGCAGCCGGGATTCGATCCCACGACCTGTGGGTCAGCAGCCGAGTACCTTAGCCTCAAGACCACTGCTGCGGGGCTAAGAAATAAACATAAAAGGGCAGTGACGCGGGGTTCGTCCAGTGACATGAATGCAGCGTCTTGTTTTATAAGGGTGATGCTTGAATGATAGTCGTAGATACCAACCCCGCCGTGGTGGTCTAGTGGCTAAGGTACTCGGCTGCTGACCCGCAGGTCGCGGGTTCAAATCCCGGCTGCGGCGGCTGCATTTCCGATGGAGGCGGAAATGTTGTAGGCCCGTGTGCTCAGATTTGGGTGCACGTTAAAGAACCCCAGGTGGTCGAAATTTCCGGAGCCCTCCACTACGGCGTCTCTCATAATCATATAGTGGTTTTGGGACGTTAAACCCCACATATCAATCAATCAATCGATACCAGCGGTTAATCTCGCTGCCATATTCTGGACGGCGTTCAGCGTAGGGACAAGGTGATCTTGATGTGGTGACCACGTGGCTTTGTGGGTGAACATAAGTTGGATATAGTAATGCGCGTATAAGTTAGAAAAAGCGTTACGCAAGTTTGTGCGCAGATAGCCGAGAGACTGGGAGGCTTTTGAACAGACAGCTGCTATGTGCGTAGTCCAAGATAAGTCTGATAAAAGGTGAATGCTGAGATATTTGTACGATAGTGTGGCGGAAACAACGGTATTATGAATAGTACAGAGAAAGGGTGAGTTAGTACGCTTTGAACGAGAGTAACTTTCATTTAGAGGCGTTAAGAGACACATCTTCCAAGCTTCGCACCCTTTGTAGGTTAGATTAAAGTAATCTTAGAGAGCGTAATGATCGCCAGTAGATTGAACATAGCGGTAGATAACGTAATCATCCGCAAATAACTCATCTGAGGACGCAAGGTTATAGGGCAAGTCGTTAATGTAAATTAAAAAGAATAGTGAACCCAGTACACTGCCCTGGGAAACACCAGACGTGACATCGCAAACGTTAGATGAAGTGTCGGTAACCACCGTGAATTTATGACGAGATGATAAGGAGTTGCGTATGCAAGACAGGGTTAATACAGAGAGAAGACAATTTAGAGACCTAACGACAACGAGGAACAGTATCGGAAGCTTTGACGAAACCGAGAAAGAGGCAATCGGTTCAAACGTTACTGTTCATATTAAAGAGAAGGTCTGTAGTGAATTCGAACAACTGAGTGTCACATCAGTAGCCTTTACTGAAGCCATGCTGACTCGGGAAAAAGAAGTCATTCGGTTCAAGGTGATCATAGATATTATTGATTAATATATGGTGTTTAACGTACCAAAGCTATCATATGAATATGACAGACGCCGTACTGGTGGAATCTTGAAATTTAGACCACTTGGGTTCTTTAATGCACACGACCCTACAGCATTTTCGCTTCCGTTGAAAATGCAGCCGCCGCCGCCGCCGGGACTCAATCCCACGACTTGCGCGTTAGCGGCCCAGTACCTTGGCCACTAGACCACCGTGGCGGGGCAATCATAAATATCAGAAGCTATATAATGTTCAAGTTGTTTGCTGAATATGCATATTAGTGAAATGGGCCAGTAATAGCGGATCTAATGCCTGTCACCGGGCTTGAATACGGGGACTGCCTTGCCGATCTTCTAGTCTTTAGGCAACTCGCCAGATGAAATACTTTGCAACATATTTTGCATGATATATTTCGCGACAAATACGCATTTGATCTTTTTTTTTATTTTGACGGAGACTAGTTAAAGATGAGATACAGAAAGTTACTGCATGGAAATATCAGTGGTGTTCTTCAGTATAGTGGAGTTAATATTGTCAATGCCTGATAAAATAGAGACATTAAGATTAGTGATGAGGTTTGCGATACCTTCTGCAGTGACGGTGACCATGAAAGTGAAGGGCTGGTCAGGGACAAACGGCACATTGGAACAATCTTCTTTTGTAAAAAACTGAGGCGAAATTCGCATTGAACGCAATCGCGGAAGCTTCATCAGAAAGCGGAGTTTGTTTAGCATCATGTAATGTAACGTTATCAAAAGACTTAATGTAAGGAGAGACTATTTGCCAGAACTTTTTAGGACAATTTTTGATAAGGGAGGGCAAGTCCTGTGAATAACATTTCTTCTTTTCTGCGCCTAGAGCTTTATAGTACTCTTGCAAACACACCTTGTATGTTTTCTGTAGGAAGCAGAATCATTGCGTCTGGCGGTATTATATGAACGTTTCTTTTTATTCCGTAATGTTCTAAGCTCACTCCTAAAGACTGAGGGTTAGCTTATCGTTCGATATAGAGATTCAAGGTGCAGACTGGTCAACAAGGTCTAATATTTTTTTTTCCTTAAAAAAAAAAACCAGCTGGTGTTTGCGGTCCGTGAGGCATATGACTGCAGAAAATGATCGTGATAAAAAAAATCTAATTTGGTGTTAAAGTGTTCCTAAACCAACGGTTGTAATCGCGGATAGCTTCAGTCACTGCGCCTCTAAGCATTACAGGTAAATTGATCTGCGAATGAATGAACTTGTGGTCACTAAATCCTCTGATGCAGAAAATCGGTGTAGTAGTTTCAGGTGCGTTAGTGAAAAGCAGGTCCAGTATTATGGTACCACGGGTGGTTAGCTGAACAACCTGTGATAAGCTGTAGTGTAGAGTTACTTTTGGAAAAAAATTTATGAGATGCGACATGTGGTAGACATGGCAGACCAATCAATGAGCGGGTAATTGAAATCACCAGAAAGGTATATTATATCCGCTCAATAGAGTTGTTCAGCTCGCTGCATATTATCACGCAAAGCCTCTGGAAAGGAGGAGTGCGCGTAGGGTGGGCGATAACATGATCCTATATGAATTTAGCATACGTTGTAATGCCTACAGCTCAATTAAGTCATCTCTATAGAAGGGTTAGTATCGCGGTGAAATGATGAGACTATTTTTCACCTGTATTCTGTCCTCTTCTGTCAACACGGTCACATCGATATATTTTTTAATTATTCTTAACTGGAAACAGTTTCTTGGTTACTTCAGGATAAAGCCAGGTCTCCGTGAGTATTAATATATATATGATCACTATGATCTAAATAAGAACACAAATTATCTCTCTTGGGCAGCAAACTTCGAATGTTAGTAAAAGATGTAGATGGTGATTTCACTATGCATCACTTACGCACGCACGTGTTAAACTCTAGCTATCTCAGACAGCACAACTGCGCTGCTAGAATGATCAAAAATGTTCGTGTTTGTGTAAACGCGCAGCTTATCAATGAATAGCTTGAAAGGTTTGTTTTGAGCATTCGCCTATTCCAGAAGCTTATGGCGAGCTTCTCGCGTTTTCATAGAAAAATCCTCACGTATATAAAGATTGGTTCCCTCAAGCATGCGCGCATTTGAGAAAGTCAGCTCTTTATTCTTGAAAAATGAAATATCACAAACAAAATGAAATATCACAAAAATAAATTATTACAAATAAAATGAAATAGCACGCATGAAGGTATGCTGGTAGTCAGTAGAGTCCACGGCAAGACCCAAGACGAAGGAAACCTAAAATAGGGCCCTACAGAAGCAATAGTTTTCTGCGTCTTATGCTATATTATGCGTCAACTTATCGTGACAGTGGAAGAAAGGTTACAGACCATTCCTATTGAAAAATATAACTCAATGTAACTCGTTGGTCACAACTTACTTAAAAACGTAGCTACTCACCGGTAACACGTCATTCGTAACTAGTTACTTGCAAGTATGTACGTAACGCTTCAGGATTGTACTGATCATTGTCCTCCCTGCCAATACATTTGTGGTCTAAAAAGGTGGAAGTCGGTACCAACTTTGTATGTTGCGTGCTTACCTTTTTCTTTCTTTTTCGTGTTTTTTTTTCACTGTGTGCACATGTGACTGAGACATGTGCCTCGTTAATAATGTAGGTCCATAATTCTTACCATTTTATACCATGATTTTTGTACCCATAAAATTGTATATGTGAATATAGAATGTTTGTTGACACTTTCCAACCCACTCCTGTAAAAATCCCTGACAGGATTGACCGTATTGTTAAATAAATAAATAAATAAATAAATAAATAAAATACTCGTTAATAATGCTAGTAACTAGTATGTGCATTACTTAAGTCTAACTTGACTTGTTTGTAGCCATGAGTATTACTCATTTTGTCGCACCAATGCGCTTTAAAATTTCACCTGTGATTTGATTTGAAAATGCCAAACTCTTTCTTTCCTCACCCCGTCCTCGGCGGCCTGTAGACCACGGAGGTGCAGGTGGTGACGCCCAACAAGGCGATGTACCCGGGCGACGTCCTCGTCATGGTAGACGGCGCGCCCACGGACAGCTTGGACTCTGCGGGCGTCAAGGCGGCCCTGGCCAAGGGCGCCAACGAGCTGAGCATCACCATCGCGCCCATGTCGCCTCTGAGGCTCAAGAGGCCCTCGTACACGCGTCTGCACGAGACGGTGATGACCGACGCCAACGTGCCGGAGCCGTCAGCGAAGGCTAACATCGATAACGCACCTGCGGCCGGCGGTGCAGCCGGTGCTAAACCCGATGCCGGTGCTAAACCCGCAGCGGCACCGGCAGCGCCAGCGAAGCCGTGAGCGCCCCAAAAGCCACGGTCCAGCTAAAGACGTTCGGCCCTTTCAAAGCGCAGTGGGTTCAAATTCGACCAAACTAATGAAAAGGCTCATCAAATAAACGAGGCAAAGTAATATTTTCAGAAGGGCTGACGGCTGAAGGAGTTCTGATGTACGTCGTTCTTAACCTAGTCTAAAAAGTAGGTTTCGCGAGAAGGTCGAAGCAATAAATGCGACAGCAACATAATTGAATGTTGTGCGAAGCAAGGCGAGCATTTTGAGGAGCAATACTAATTGCAGTAGACATAAGGGCACGACGTTCGTCCGCTTCGGGCTGTCGAACCGCAGGGTTTTGTCGCCCCTGTCGCCTCGCCTCAGCCTCGTACTCTCGCTCTTGGACATCCTAAGGGAGGGCGAATTGCAATGTTACACGAAGTGAGGCTCGGCAGTAAACTCATTTAAATACGATCTCGCGTGACCCTACAAAACTCTGGTGTAAGAGATCACTGCCGCTCCAGGTACACTTCTGGCAGTGTTTATTTCGTGTTGACGGCGCAGCCCGTAGAAGCTCCCGTCTCTGCTGTGGGGCCACGAGCGGTGCGCTGATCATTGCCGCGATAGCGCGGCAACCATTAGCACCCCTCCACCCATTTTTCACTCACGTGATAAGCGCGCACGCAGACGACCCCAGCCGGAAAGGCGATTTTCGCTCCAAAAAAAAAAAAAACAGGCTAGCATATTCTTCCCAGTACGTATATACATACATATACATATACGTGAACGACGGCGGCTCCGGCGGTGGCGGCGGCGACGACAAAAGCCAGCTGAGCTGTTCATATGATTGCTATTGCAATGAAATAGTGAAGGTGACTCAAGCACAAGTGCCACATCTTTCCAACGGTGCTTCGAGTAAACACAAAGACTCAAGCCCCTCCCCCCCCCCCCCCAAAAAAAAAAACAAAAAACTTTGGGCTGCTCCCTCTCTTCCCCGTCGCTCCCCAAGGAGGAAACATGTTCATAACACAATGGCTAAGTTCCCCGCCTCCCTGCTTCATCCCCCCCCCCTAGTAAAATAATCCTGGCGCCACTGTCACAGTCAACGTGTTGATACTTCCACGTTTCCACTGAAAGCTTTCTGGGCCTCGCATAGTTTCGCACAGCATCTGTGAGCAGCTCACCTGTGACCTGATACAAACGTATCAAGCTAAGTTTTGGAAGAGCAGTGAAAGTGGGAAGGAGACAAGATGAGCAACTACAGGAAAATTTTTATCCAGAAAGGCAAATTGAAATAGCCACTAAACAAATTAGTCACAAAATTAGTCACGAAACAAACACGAATCAAATTAGTCTCTTTGAGCTAGAGCTTGCTAAGACGCGTGGCAAGTCACCCCGGAAAAGAAGACACAAACCCAAAAGTTGGTGGGATGAGGAAGTTAAGAGAGCCTTAGCAAAACGTCAGGAAGCCTCTAGGGAACACAGACATGCTAAGCAGCGGGGCGAACCGACAGATGATGATGAAAGAAAATGGGCAACCTTCCTAAGCTGTAGAAGGGATACATCCCTTCTGATCAATAAAAAGATTAGAAGGAAGGGAGCTCAGTGGCTGGCAGAAGTACATAAAAAACATAGAAAGGCAGCTGCGAAATTTTGGAACCATCTAAACTCCCTAAGAAATGAGACGAGCCTAGAGCAGAGTTTTATAACTACAGCCCAAGGTGCTAAGCTAGAAGGGGACGAAGCTATTGAATATATAGGAACAAGGGTGACAGAAAAATTTCAACAAAGAAGTGCTTTATGCACCACAATAGACAAGGGTGAATCAAGTGGTGCAATGACTCCATTTTCACAACGAGAGTGGGAAAGGGCTGAGAAAAGGGTTCCTAGTAGTACATCAGCAGGCCCAGATGGCATTCCAAATAGGCTGATAAAGACATTAGGTCCGAAGTCTAAGCAGGCTTTGAGAGAGGCAGTGAGCGCAATAATAATCGATGGTGAAGTTCCCGATAGATGGAAACTTAGCAGGATGGGCAAGATCTATAAAGGAAAGGGGGACAAAGCTGACATAAACAACTACGGTCCTATAACAGTGACATCAGTGGTCTACAAGCTGGCGATGCAGATTATAAAGGAAAGACTGCAGTCATGGATAGAGGATGAGGGGGTGCTGGGGGAACTGCAGAATGGGTTTCGGAAACACAGGAGGTTGGAAGACAATCTGTTCTCACTGACGCAGTGCATCGAAATAGCAGAAAATGAACACAGGCCCCTGTGGCTAGCTTTTTTGGATATCAAGGGAGCGTACGATAGCGTGGTTCAAGAGGAATTGTGGGGAATACTGGATACACTAGGCGTGGAACATGTAGTCACTAATCTTTTAAAGGGTATCTATAAAGGTAACAAGGTAGTTATAAAGTGGGAAAAACAGGTATTCAAGCCTGCAGAGGTAAAACGGGGGCTTAGGCAGGGGGGCCCCCTGTCACCCTTATTATTTATGATGTACCTACAAGAATTAGAGGCAAAATTAGAGGGAAGTGGACTGGGCTTCAACCTCTCTTTAGTCAAACAAGGAAAACTTATTGATCAGGCACTACCAGCATTAATGTACGCAGATGATATAGTGCTAATGGCCAACAACAAGGAAGATTTGCAGAGATTGATGGACATCTGCGGTAATGAGGGAGATAGGTTACATTTTAGATTCAGTCAGGAAAAATCAGCAGTCATGATTTTCAATGACAACGAAGGTAGTGAGCTTTGAATACAGGAGGTCATGGTAGAGATAACGGATAAATACAAATATCTGGGCGTATGGATAAGCAATGGGACCGAGTATCTGAGGGAACACGAAATATACGTGACGACTAAAGGTAACAGGAATGCAGCAGAGGGCACTGTGGAATTACAATAGGTATGATGTTGTGAGAGGAATATGGAAAGGGGTCATGGTTCCTGGGCTGACGTTCGGCAATGCGGTCTTGTGCATGAGATCAGAAGTTCAAGCAAGATTAGAAATTAAGCAACGTGGAATAGGTAGGCTTGCCTTAGGAGCTCACGTGAATACACCAATCAGGGAGTACAATGTGATGTGGGATGGACATCATTTGAGGGCAGGGAAGCTAGCAGGAAGATAAAATTTGAGAAGCGATTGAGAGAAATGGGGGAAGAGCGTTGGGCTAGGAAGGTTTTCAGCTACTTGTACATGAAGAATGGCGATACAAAATGGAGGAAGTGAACCAGGAAGTTGACTGGTAAATACTTAGAAAACAGCAGGTGGCCAAACCAAAAAAGAACTATCGGTTAAGAAGAAAGTGAAGGAAACGGAGACTGACATGTGGAGAATGGGCATGATTAAGAAGTCCGCACTAGAGATCTATCGAACTTTTAAGCTGGAGATTGCCAAGGAAAGGATCTATGATAATACTCGGGGTAGTTCTCTACTGTTTGAGGCCAGGACGGGAGTATTGCGAACCAAGACATATCGAACCAAATACGAAGGGGTAGACACAGTATGCAGTGCGTGTGGAGAGGAAGAAGAAACTGCCGAACACTTGATAATGTTCTGTAAAGGGCTTCACCCTATAGTTCAGGATGATGGCGCAGACTTTTTCAAAAGCACTGGGATTTAGGGACAGCGAGGGCAAAATAGACTTTAAGCGGGTAGACTTAACTAGAAGGAGGTTATCTGATTGGTGGCTAAAGTCAAGGCATGAGTGAAAATTAAACCCTTCCCTGCGAAGTACGAATCCTCAACTTCATTCTTTAAAGGAAAAAAAGATAAATGTAATGGTTAGTTCACTAAGTATTACGGCTAGGTGGCGTTAGCCACCGCCCGATCTAAAGGGTACAGCCACATCCATCCATCCATCCATCCATCCAGTGATGCCATGCGATGACGTCATAATGACAATACGTTATGGTGTTATGCGACGTCATGGTGACGTCATGCGCCGATGTCATCACGTGAAGATGACTATTTTGCACCACTTAGGTTTGATGCTGACGCCAAGAGACGCCGCCTATGGTCTCTTTCACATTTATTAAGACATCTGAGGCTTTAGCCTTGTATATCTAGTGTAATTCGGTCAGCGGCACAGCACGAAGCCTTGACCGAGCCCAACGCGATGGTCCAACAACCAGTTGAAGGCGTTCGAGCATTTATGTGCAAGCAAAAGAAAGTTTTAAGAAATGAAAAAAGGTGGGAGGGAGGAATAAAATAGGAAGGAAGGGAGGAAAGGAAGGAAGGAGCGAATAAATGAGAATGAGAGAAGGAAGGAGGGAGAGGATGAGGTACGAACGAGGGAGGGAAGAAATGAAGGAGGGAAGGAAGAGATGAAGAAAAAGGGATAGGAATGAAAAGGAATTCTTCCACAAAACGGCGCCGTGCAGTTCATCCTGAAGTCACCACTTCCTCCACAACATCGGCAAACACGTCGAATACCCCTGACAACGGCACCTTTGTAGTCGCAGGTCGCTCGGTGACCTGCCACCTTCATCCCCAACTCGAAAGTTATCATCACGGACTCCTGGAAAGCATGTTCTCATTACTTGGTAGGAGAGGTATCTTCCCTAGCAAGCCAAATTCTAAAATGGTCTCTCGCTGATCCAGCCCCGAAACGCATCGTATGGGCTCCTGGCCATCAGGGCTTACGAGGTAATGAGGCCGCTGACGCGGCCGCCCGAGCGCTTACCCACCGGGCTCCTCACCTTGGCTCTTATGACTCGGAGGCCAATACACCGCTGCTGCGGTTCAAAGAAATTCTGACCTATTATCGCCACATTCACCGCCTTTTCCCGGCTCCTGCAAAGGGGCTGAGTAAGGCGGAAGAGTGAACTCTATGGCGCCTGCAGACAGGTACTTTACTCTGTCCTGCAATTCCAAAACATTTCGATGCGAACACAGATGGGTGGTGCCCACACTGTGGGGAGACGTGTGATATCTTCCACATGGTATGGGCATGTCCGAAAAATCCCCATCTACCCCCTTCCCCTACCCCTTCCCGAGAGGCATGGGAGACTGCCCTCAA